AAAAAATTGAGGTGACGTCATCATGACGTCATCTTGTGAATTTTTAAAGATTTTTGAAATTTTGGACCTTTAAGCCATATCTCACGAATGCAATATGCTAAATTCAAAATTCTTTATGTTTGTTAGGTAATAGGTATTTTCACACAATTGTGAAAATTGTGTGACATCATTGTGACGTCATCAAAAATGGGATTTTAAAACACATAAGGGAATGTCCGATCGTCCTGAAACTTTGTGGGTGGGTAGATAATAGTACTAGTACACAAAATCTGAAATGACGTCACAATGACTCATCTGTAGCTTTTTTACGATTTTAAAAATATTACTTTTATTCTGCTAACAAAATTTAACACTTTTATTCATCTGATTGGCTTCAAACTAGGTATAGACTAAAACCACAATAAAATATTGAGTACTGGCAAGTAACGATGACGTTATCACGGGGCAAGTGACGTCATCATGAATGTTCCTTTTTTCAAAGTTTTCTATTGAGAAAACTATCTGACTGATTGGCTCAAAAGTCTGTATGGACGTAGTCCGACACGTGTTGTGGAGGGAAATTAACCTAGAGCCAGGGTTAAATGATTTCTGGTCACTTTTAATAACCGTTTCTGTCTTTTTGGACAAATTTGATCATGAACTTTACTTATTAAAGATGACATTGTTTTCATAAACGAGGGCTGATTGGATCGTCAAAAATTTGGCGGGAAGTCAGATAATGTTATTCATAAGATGCAATTTTGCGCCGGGGTGATGTAAATCAAATTAGGTTTTGCCCTTCACCAACGTATAAACTTACTGTATACTCAGTGTGTTACCTCCCGAGTGAAAGTTGGAAAAAATCACTCGGGTGGGACTCGAACCCACGACTTCCTGCTTCCTAGTGCAGACGTCTTACCACTCGACCACCGAGCTAACGGGATTGGTTGGCTGGTTCGAATCTGATGTACACAGCAGTGGGTACCGAATTTTGCACCAGGGTGATGTAAATCAAATTAGGTTTTGCCCTTCACTGATGTATAAACACTGTATATTCAGTGTGTTACCTCCCAAGTGAAAGTTGGAAAAAATCACTCAGGTGGGACTCCAACCCACAACTTCCTGCTTTCTAGTGCAGACGTCTTACCACTCGACCACCAAGCTAACGGGATCGGTTGGCTGGTTCGAATCTGATGTACACAGCAGCAATTACCGCATTAACTAGATTCATAAGATGGAATTTTGCGCCACGGTGATGTAAACCAATTTAGGTTTCGCCCTTCACCGACGTATAAACATAGATAATAGTACTACTAGTGCACAAATCTGAAATGACGTCACAATGACATCATCGATAGATTTTTTACAAATTTTTAAATATTTAAAATTTATGGATGAAACTAAACATTTTAAAACACAAATCTGCATGGACACACAAAGTATAAACTTGAAACGTCTGGAAAGGCAGAAAAGCCAGTTGCATTGTCCATAGACAATCAACACGTCTAGTTTTTAAAATTTCCTTAAATGATGCACGCTTTGATAAACCCCATTCCCATCTCTACTCCGGCTCCGTCGTTGAACACATAAACTGGTTCCTGTACGTAGTAGTGCATCTAATATTAAAAACAAAATGACTTGAGACTTGACTTGACTTAAGAAAAATTGACTTGGGACTTGACTTAACTTGGAAAAAAATGACTTGGTTACAACTCTGCACAGCGAAGGCAGTATGGACAGAGTCTACTCTAGTGTGTGGCCATAGAATAGGGCTAGGGGTGATTAAAAAGTGATAAAATAATTTGATGTGATTTTCTGCTCCCTTAGCAATGGGGGTTTCCACATGTAGCCGTACACTATACATACATGTATTTGTCCTGCTGTGCCCTCCATACATTTGGGGCATAGACCAAGTGCATGATGGAAAAAGCCATGCATTGGTTGGCAAGATGGCTCCCATGAGTTGATCAGATGTTAAGTCTGAGTAACTAAGACCCTATGAATCACCTTTGGACATGGTCGGGTGATAGTAGGGTCCTTTGATTATAAAGTACATCGCATCACCAATAATTTTTTTTGACCATTTTTACTCGTACTCCCAATCAAAATCTTCAGGTTTTATCCCCAAAACATTCCTCAAAATGCCTGATGCACCCCTGTAGGCTTCAGTGGGACTTGAAAATGCAAATGGTGATAGTTAGGTTCACATACCTTAAGGAAGAAAAGATATAGTTCACCTTCAATTGGGAAACTGATCCCTTGTTTTCCTGCCATGCTAGGAGGGCGCCATCTTGATTCAAGATGGCGGCCTCCAGCACGACACTGCGCAATAGTCGTAGCCTTGTTGCCATTTTGTGATTGGACAATTAACGACGTTGATGCACATGTACGCTAGTACGACGTACGGTACCATGTACACGTACGGGCGCCGCATGTACATGTTCATCGCACAAGACCAGGTTTTTCTGTGACACATTTCGTTCACATAATGATACAGAAAGGGGGATAGGAAAAACTTTTAAACATTTCACAAAACCCTTCTGTGTATATATATCTCGATATTTAAATGAACATTGCAAGATATCTGCAATGATTCGTTGGACATTAATTTTGTGCGTAAATTTTGAGAATGGAAGAATCTCTCCTTAAAAAGAACTTATTTTATTCATCTTTATTCATGCTTTCTTTGAAAAAAATTATTTTACGAATGTAAATTTATTAATTTTATGTACATATTATGCGTATTAAATTGATCCCTGCTTTTCTTTTCAATCATTGTTTTAATTTGAAAATAGTTAAGAAGTTTTTAAAAACGTACCTCCCTATAATATATATCTAAAAGGACTGATGATGCGACCGGAAGAACTAATTACTTAACACTTCAATTCCGTATTCACTTTCCTGCATTTCTATTTCTATTGAAATTCTATTTTTTTTTATGATGTTCATTTATGATAACAGACCGTCACTAAAAATGATTGTATTGTATACCGAGTGCGGATCCTAGGTGCGTAAGCAGCGCTACTTGCAACCGCGCTTGTAGCATAGCTACTTGCACTGGAGATAGGAAGACACCATCAAACGAATGTCGTTTATCGTCCAATCACAAAATGGCAACAAGGCTACGACTATTGCGCAGTAGCACGACGAGGATTGGTTTTCCAATTGAAGGTGAAATTTCTATTTTTGTATGACGTATTCTGTGCTGGTAAAAGGTTTTAGGTCCGTGCGTGAGTTCCTGCCATTGCAGACAAACGTTTCAAAGTAATTTACGTTAATTCTTTTTTTAAATTTGCTGGAATTCTCTTGAATGAAGTACCGGTATTTTTGGAAAATTAAATAATACTTTATCAGAAAATGTGCTTGATTTGGGGTGGTTCTGGCTAAAAAATCGAATCTCTCGCGTGATTTTTTTTTCGCGCAAAGCACTTTTTGATTGATTCGGAACTGATTAATAAACCAATCCGGAACTAGGAAAAGTGGCATCGGTACTTCTGACGCTTAAATTTGGAAAATCATTTTGTTGTATCTTGATCACTCCAGGTAAACTTTTTAACCAATGTCACTTGAATTCGTGGAGTAGTTGAGCTGAAAGCAGCCTGACTAATGTTTGCTATCCGGAACTAGGAAAACGACTGTGATATATATACTAGCTCATACGAGTCTTGTACTAAAAAGAAAGAATGTTGCAACCTGCATGACCTGACGCCACATTTTTCTTCATATCATCCCAATAAAGGTCAAAATATTTTGAAAAGACATGAATCTGGGACTGCGAAGCATTTCCAATTTTGTTAGGAAATACTCAACAAATTGTCTTGACACTCCATAGACTTTGCACACAACTCAACTGCTGTATAAATTAACAACCTATCTATTGAGGATTCAACCATTAATAATGGTTGAATCCTCAATAGATAGGTTGTTAATTTATACAGCAGCATTATATTGAAATTAATCTTAAAATCATGAAAAGTGTATAGTCTGGTTCCCCGACCTGACAATTTCCCCCGACGTCCACACGTCTAAATTGTAGGTCAGGCAGCCTCCGTGGCTAAAAATAAACATGACAATTAATGACGGCCCCTTTTCAAAGCTCGGCTTTGTGTCCGAATTTGCTTTATCACATAAAGCTTTTAATGTTCGGATCAATTTTTAAAATAAATCACGTGATTCATATATCATACAGTAATGAAATTAATACAGTTTGATATTTCTGTAAGAAAACATTGACTGATCTGGAGTCTTCAAAATTAGTCACCCAAATAGCACTGTTAGCAGGCGGAGCCGAATGAAGATAACGGTGAAATCTCTGTAACGATTCTCAAATTAAAAATAGTACATGACGAAGCAAAAAGTTCGCCCATACGATCTGAGTATACTTGATGCTCAAAATCATCGTTGAATTTCAAGTTTTCTAAATGAAAGCAATGAATATTAATTATCAACTCATTTTAAAAAGTTTTTAATAAGCAATAAGCAGTTAATTAAAACTATATTATACTCGGAAATAATCGCGCGCTATCCAATTGTTGACGAAACGAATTCGGCAAACTTTCGACATTTTCGGAAAAAGGAGGAATTTCTCCCGTTTTAGTCACTTGACGTAAATTGTAATACGATGTATTACCGGAGGCTTCCTGACCTAAGATTCATCAGGTATAGTCAGAATCTTTTGGTCTGGGAACCGGACTAGAAAAGTGTATTGGCATTGAAAAAAAAGAAAGAAAAAAGAAAGAAAATGTTTGAAAAGCTCAAGGAAATATATTCTCCTAAAAGTAACCATGAAAACCAAGGAGTCTAACTCAATTTACAAAACAAATATTCTATTGATTTAAAACGCCAAAACTGTATGCTTTTGAAATTTCAGAAGTACATGTAGGCCTAATCGTAAGCCAACCTAGTTTTGTTGAGGAAAAGAGTGGTTGCTTTGCTATTTGGAAAGCCTTATCTGCGCAGAAATAGCATGAATAGGAGGATAGAGGATTAATAGAGGAATATGGCACCACAACTGGACTTACCGTGCACCCTTTTCTCATCAAAAATCATCAATCGTGACACATAGTACATGTAGTAACTACGAAGAATCCTTAGTATTTGCGTGTTTTTGGCGGGGAAAGGGCTACAATAAATTTCAGTGCGTCAAAACATTGTCTTTGTGCTCAGTTCCGTACTGACCGTATAATTCGCGAGAAGAGAAGGTACGTACATATAACACACGTAAATTTTGTGTACACACACAGTGTAGCTAGCTAGCTAGCTGGCTCACACGTACACACGAACACAAACACGCAAAAGCGATTGAAAATTCTCAGGGGTGGAACTTTTTACACGGTGAAAACTGTTGTTTTCTTGGTGTTTTTTTTCTCCATTATTAGAGTGTATTTTTTGTTCAACAAAATCACAAACAGTTTGCACTTTTTTTCTGTTTCGTTTTCCATAATAGGATATTTGTAAATACCAATTATATATGTCATTTATATTTGAAAACTTATATTTAAAAACATTGACTACCCTAGAAATCAAATGGTTCAGTTTATTGACAATAATGTGCAAGCTCCATGGGTCGAGAGCGCGCGAGCGGATTTTTTTGTTTGGGTTTGTATGCAAATTTTATTTTAGACTGGAGACCTGAGCTAGCTGCAGCGTGTTTCATTACCAATTGCGATCATCATCATTCCCAGACCTGACAATTACGCTCACGTCCCAACCTCGTCCCCAGTGCTTATTTTATTTCCAACATCGTTTCCAATATAAGAGAGAGCAGGTAGTGGTGGGCGCGTACTGCTCGACACACTGGGGACGAGGTTGAGGTCATGCAGCCTCCGTGGCTAAAAATAAACATGACGACATTGACGGCCCTTTTTAAAAGCTCGGCTTCGTTTCCGATTCGCTTTTTCACTTATAGCTTTTAATGTTTCCATCAAATTTTTAAATAAATCACTTGCCTCATAATATCATACAGTTATGAAAATACAGTTGGATACTTCTGTAAGAAAACATTGACTAATGTTGACCTGGAATCTTCAAAGTTAGGCACCCAAATAGCACTGTTAGCAGGCAGAGCCGTAGAACGCCGAGTTTTGGAAAATGCCGGTAACGGTCGTCAAATTCAAATTGGTACATGACGCAGCAAAAAGTTCGCCCCTCGTACATGTATATGTACGATCCAAGTACACAATCGTCGTTGAATTTCAAATTTTCTGAATAAAAGCAATGAATATTAATTATCAACTAGTTTCTTAAGTTTTGAATAAGCAATTAGCAGTTAAAAACACCTATATTATACTCGGAAATACTCGGGCGCTTTCCGATTGTCGACGAAACGAATTCGGCAAACTTCGGACATTTTCGGAAAAAGGAGGAATTCCTCTCGTTTTAGTCACGAGACGTAAATTGTAATACAATGTATTACCGGAGGCTACCTGACCTAATATTCATCAGGAATAGTCAGACTCTTTTGGTCTGGGAACCAGATTCATCAGGAACAGTCATGAATCTTTTGGTCTGGAAACCAGACTACATTATCATCGCACGCAAGTTCATCATCAAATCAATCGCTCAACCTCGTTGCCATGAGTACGATCTTGCTGCAACATGTTGGTTCCCACCGTGCCTTGCGCAGAGTTGTAACGAGTAACTGATTTTTGTGACTCGATCAGTCGAGTCCAGAACTGACTCGAGTCGAGTCGAGTCATTATGGGTCAAGAAGGTCGAGTCGAGTCACAGTGTGTAGTTGAGTCGAGTCAAGTATTTAGCTCGAGTCAAGTCGAGTCACAAATATTTGAACACTATCATGGGCGTCGCGAGGGTGGGGGGGGGGGGGCAAGGGGGACACTTGCCCCCCCCCCCCCCCCCCCCCGCAAAACGAAAAAAAAAAGGAAAAAGAGGTCCGAAGCCATATTGCTGTTAGTTTGATGGGGGGGGGGGGGAGTAGGGCAAATGCTCCCCTGCTCACGCTCGGAAAAAATGATAAATTGAGAATATTATGAAAAAGTTAAGGAATTTTGGGGAAACATTTACTTCCCCCCCCCCCCCGGAAAAAAATCCTGGCGACGCCCATGAACACTATATGTAAACACAAGATAGAAAGTCAGTTTTTGGCTTTTTACATTTTAAATTCGGGCTGTAGTTGCAGTAGTTGAAAAATATTTACAAAAATACCACTCTTCTTGAAATTGACTTCACACCAGGTGCCATAATTTTACAGGATGTCATTTGCCAACATCCTAGTCTGCAGGTGCTGCAGCTGGCCCAGTATTTCGTAACAATTTTGTAGTTTTGTCTGTCGGTGTTTGCAAATGTTGGATATTCCCCTTTATGAAAATAAAAAGGGGGTGCCAGCTGATCGCCATTCAACTAATCAGCCGTGTGGTTGCGAAAGGCGATTTCTAACGGATACGTAGCACTTTATTTTGAATGAAACTACATGCGCACAGACATGTTGGCGGGCGAAATCTTTGAAAACTAATTTCTCCCGGTTAGAAGACCGTATCTTCGTGCAACTTTTAGGGTTTATTTCCCTTATAATGATTTAAGTATGTGCTAAATATCGTTGTGATATGTGTATTACTGTTCAATGAAATTGCAAAAATAGGCCTGGCTACGTGCATTTTTGAAAGTTGTAACACTGGCGTTTGCAATATCTGTCAATCTTTTCAAGCCTCACGAAGTTTAATAAGGTCCTATCCCGTTATGGTGTGCAGTAAACATTTGAGTAATATTCTCCTTCACGAGTTATTCATTAATATATATCACCCTTTTGGCCGGCATCCATTGGTCGATACCGAGACACACGCCAAGTCACACCGAGTGGCGCTAATGAATATGCTAATATGCACTTCGTCAATGTGTTGCCGGGCCGAAATCGGTCAACCATAGCGTCTAGTATAAGGCGCTGAAAAGCATGCACATGGGTTGGTCGGCAAAAAAAAAATCCTCGTCGAAATTTTCCTTGGAGCTAGTTCAAGGTGTAGCGCTAGCATTTGCAACAACAGATTAAGCTGAAATTCGGAATTATAGATGATTATAAGTGTTCAACTACTCGTGAAGTAACAACTTGAGTATTCCTAGAAATTGAGATAAATACATAGATTTGGGGAAGTTTTCGAAGGGGACCGCAATGGAAATATTTTTTTTTAATTTGCGTTATCCCTGCTTTTTTCCCCTCTGTATGGGTCTTTTCTATGTTGTATTTTAATTTTGTTTATACGATTTTAGATAAATTTTTATGTGTTTTGTTAAATCTTAACTTAAATTAAATATGGATCATCATTGTGTGGAAATTGCAAATAAATCAAATCAAATCAAACGATTTCTTCCAGACTTGAAGGTCAGCTTTACCAGTAATCAGTATTGAGGTTTCGGCATCGATTGGTTTTCACTGAAATAAAGTTAAGAATTTTTTTTCTGCCGTTATAATTTAACATTTCAATCATACTGAGCATATTTTCTGAGAAACACAACGTTCAAAAGGGGGGGGGGGTGTTTGCATGAATTTCACTTATCTGTTACATCGTCTAAGCACGTAATCGTATTAGTTTTGCTTATCAACGGCAGACGGTTTGCCTTCGCAACCTTATGGCTGTAATGGTGACACTGATCAAACCACGTATGTATGTATACATTATTCCCGAACTTTCTAACGTGACGTGAACAAAAACCGGCACCGGCGTAAGTCATTGCAATATTTTTCGCAAAGTTTTGCTTTCATTTTTGGGACTCGAGTCTTATTAGCCTTCCTCGAGTCGAGTCGAGTCATTCTGATGAGGGACTCAAGTCGAGACGAGTCGAGTCATTTGCTCGCAGTGACTCAAGTCGAGTCGACTCATTTACCCTTAGGGACACGAGTCGAGCCGAGTCACCAAAAATTGTGACTCGAGTCGGACTCGAGTCAAGTCATTGACTCGAGTCATTACAACTCTGGCCTTGCGTGATTTTAACCCGTTTATACCTGTATAAATATCTTGGAGATTTAAATGAAGAGATCAGTCTACAGAATTTGCAGCGAGTAAAATGGAACACTTCGCTCGTACCCCGCCCTGCAAACATGGCATTGGGACAGACTGGTGAGCTTCACAGAATCTTGTGAAGGCAGTGAGGGTGGCATTCTGGGTAATTATCATGACCTATGTATAAAGACAATCTGGCTGCACCTGTTCAAGACCGCAGTTAGCCGATGCGCCCAAAAAAAATGCGATCCAAACATTTTCAAATGCACATATTCCATACCGGATGTGATTTCTTTTTCATTGCTGACCACATTGTGGACAAATTTTTAGGGTCGCATGAACCTTCGTGAATTCGAAACGGAGCCTGAGGAAGTGACGGGAATTGAGCATGTACAAAACAGATAAGTTTTACAGATTTTCCTACATAATTACGCTTTTCAAAGAAAAAAAACCCACTTATGAATGGGAATAAAAGAGTGATGACTCGGTCTTAACTGCCGTTTAAAACCTTGCAGGGTTGTGGCCGTGATGACTTGCAGGTCACAGGTCACGCAAAATCTATCCAATCAAAGCGTAAATTCATCAGCCTTTTTCCAGCGTCCTGTTTGGGGGTACGAGCGAAAATAGAACACATGCGGCGATATGATAAACAATGTTTCCATGAAAATAACCATAATAATTCAAAGAAATATAAAATGTCTTCGACAAATTGCAATGTTTTGTTGTACGGTATATTATATTCGTAAAAATTTTAGTCTTGTCTGAAGTTAGATGCACGAACTATTCCTGAATTACCCACATGCCGACTAATATGTCTTTACATTACAACGCTCTAGCTCGCAGAGGTTGAAATAAGAATACAAAACTTAAAGAAAATGTACCTTATAATGTTCAATCACTTCATTAATATAGATTTCCCCTGCCATTTTCCTAAAATGTTCATTCACTTCTGAATATAGGTCATTCACTTTCGTCTGAATTTGAATGCACGTTTTTAATCTCATTTCAATTCAACGAAAGTTCAATCGTTATTATTGTCCGTGCATTCGGTTTTGTGAAACAGACGGCCAGTTACATTACCTGTGCATCATCATTTACGCAAGCATACCTTTTCCCGCAGAGTTCTGGCATACAATTTCGTGAACGTGCAATCAAAAGTACGTTTTTCACATTCAAAATAGCAGATTGCATCACATAACATTTAACTAAAAGTGAAATAGAATGACCAATTTTTGAAATCGCCCTCTTAAAGCGGAAAGGAAGTCTTGTAAATGAATCTGAATGAGTATAAACGAAATGTGCTGCTCAATCACTCAATTGATTGAACTGAAATGGAATCGAATGGAAAATGAATGACCGATTTTCAGAAGTGAATGAACATTTTAGGAAATTGGCCGGGAAAACCTATATTACATCATCGAGTTCAACCATCCCCTGGCAACACATAATTTTGGTGCGCGCTTTTAGTCCGTCAACAAATTAATTAGACTATTAAAAATAAAGTCACCTCTTTTCCATTGCCAATGTTTGCGCACCTACTACTAGCATGTCGAGTCAAAATATCGAAGTTAAAAATGTTCCAAGTATTTTACCCAATGTATGCATGTTTTATGCATGAAAACAAACAAACACCATATGAAATAAAAGGATGCGCCGTCATAACAGAACAGTTTCTCTTCTCCGCTTGCTTAATACTTACCTAGCCTCCGTTCTACCATGTGTCAGGAACGTTTGACATCGTTGGTACTCAAGTATACTGTCACAGAGATCTACCGATCGATCACAAAGGAAGTCGTTGCCGAGTTCGCAAGAAGACAACCGAGACGAATAACCGTGCCAAACATTCTACAACATGTGTAATTTAAGCCTAACTTCTTTGACACAGGAAACAGCATTTTCTACCCCCGTAATACTACCTGGCCTACAACAGTCGGGGATATAGCTAGGTACAATGGTGGCCACAAAGTTATGCAAAAGGTAACGTCTCGATAGTCCGAAGTCCCATTGGTCCGAAGTCCCATTGGACCGAAGTCCCATTGGTCCGAAGTCCCATTGGTCCGAAGTCCCATTGGTCCGAAGTCCCATTGGTCCAAAACATAATACTGTGTAGTTCCACTTGTTCAGGTTGACTGACCCTAACCCCCTAACCCTAACGCTAAGGATTTCGGGGAACATCGGTATTGGGAAAAGCGGGTAGACCCCGTTCTCGACTATTGTTCTCCTGTCTGGTCTCTGTACAGAGTTAAGCACATTGATCAACTTGAAAGTGTCAAAGGTATGCCACTCGTCTCATCTTTTATCAACGTAGACAGGAGCAACCTTACCCTGAGCGACTCAGTACTATTTGTATGGGTCTAACAAGAAAACTTACAGTGATCGAAAGTTTTACACGGCAGTACTATAATTCATTTCTTTAACTGTGAGTTTGATATCAAGTTATTGGGTCGTATGTATAAAAACTAGCAAATGCTATAGTTAAGCAAAAAGTAAAAGCATTTACTTTGAAGTACAAGCATTAAGGAAAAGCAAATTCTTGATTCCGTATGAATAAAACCATTCCTTTACTGTTCAGCATTTACTATACAACAGGTAGCTAATGCTTTTTACTGTTGGGTTGTTTTCATGGACAAAATGATTGCCAACAATAGGGTTTCTTTTGTGTGTACGAACTGCCACACACACACGGAGGGTTTACACGTGGTGTAATAATCCAAATGAAGGTGATGCATACAGTACATAAATTATGTAGTACATAAATTTTGATCCTCAAATCCAGCAAAAATCGTGACACCTTTCGGCAGCTGCAGAATACAGACTGTATACTTTCATCATGCATGAAAATTGTAAAGGTCCACAGTGTCATGTAGACGTCACAATTGCATACAATCACAGACATGTGTCACTGAAAATCATACCAACATTCAATACTCAAAGAGTTTTGTTTATTGAAAAAATAATAGTTGGCAAAGATTGGTGACCTAATAAACTAAAACGATGATTTCATTTTGTTCAGTCCCCAGGGTGCCGTTGAATAAAACTTATCCTTAATCATTCTATGCCACACTTAAGTTTACGCTAGCACTTCTCATAACGTGAACAAAATGCGAAATTATCGTTTCTTCTATTAATGAAATAAATTATTAAAAAAATATTTAAATTTCGCATAAATGCTATTCAAAATACAGTGTATGGTATAATATGTAGTTTATTAACGTTTTTTGTTAATTTTGGGGCTATTAATATTAATAAATGCAGCAGTTTTTGCGCCGAAGTATTTGCTTTATATTTTCAAGGTTGCCCCAACTCAGCCTTGAAAAATTACCAGTAAATACTTGAAATCTGAAGCATTTACTCATTTTTATTCATACGAAAAAAAGTAAACACTTCTAGTCTAGCAAAAGCTAACAAGTAAAAAGTAAATACTTCTAGCTTTCAGCAAATGCTTTACAGTAAAAGCATTTGCTTCATTTTTATTCATACAAATGCAAGTAAATGCTTAAAAATAGGTAGTAAAAGCAAATGCTAGTTTTTATACATACGACCCAATGTTACGATCGTATCAGTATACAGTGTCGAATACTCCACCCATCTAGCGGGTGCCGCGCGATGCGCGGCATCCCGATAGCAAATCAATGGCTTTAAAGGTACGGTATAGTCCATCATTTGTAATTTGTGCATTATGTTCATTTGAAGCAACAAAAGTGCTCACAATCTAAAGAAGGGGGCCGAACAACTAACCTGATGAAGTTTCAGCTCAGTGAATGTGGTATATTCCGAGAAAACAATATTCTAGGCTCTCGATTTCAAATCAAAAATTGCTGAATCATGTTTTGGATTGGGCCTGAATTCAGCGTCCAAGACACGTTCTCACTTAGCCGATTGCAGCTACGCGATGTCACGCACTGAACTGACGAATTATAGCAACTGTGCGCGCGTGTGCGTCATATCAATGCTTGCGCGTGCTTCGCCGAATAAAAAAACCCATTTACTATAGTACTAACGGACATTTCCAACGATGTGTCTATAAGACGCATCGTTGGAAAGGCCTTCTTTCATTGATTTCTTCCAAAAATGACAGCTTGCTAGAAAGAATAATTTCACCCGGAAGTTTAGTTCCATTACTATCTTTAAACCAAGTAAAATATCTGCAAATGATGGACTATAGCTTTAAATGGGAACTATTTACCGGTCCCCATATAATGGGAGCGGTGGTGGCCAGTCTAAGGAGTACTACGCTTGCGCACTTTGACAACAACGCCATCTTTGAAATGAATTAGAGCTGGAGAAGAAGACGCTCTTGCAAAAAACTGTAACGTACAAATCGAGCGTAATCGTGTCCAGCTGTCCATTCTCAGTAGAATTAGATAAATAGTGTTGAATTCAAGGAGTTGTCCAAATGGCTGATGCTGAAAAAGTTAACGTTGATAGTGTTATACAGCGATTATTAGAAGGTAAGAGCAAACGAGCAAAGTCTGAAAGTCGGCGAAACAATTTTCAAATCCATCACTTATCAATATCAGTGGCAGTACACCAGTATATGTACAGTCAGACAGTCGTTGTCCTAGCCCCATAAATGTGGCCAATTTACTGGACCACCTCCGTAAATAAAGGCCACACTTCCACCGTGTACAAAAACATGTAGAACTTTGTCAAATTTTGATTTTCACATATGATTTAGGCTTAGTTTTTCAGATGCGTGAAATTTCCAGATTCGTTTGCACACGTTCAGACGTTTGTGTTTCACTAGTCCCATAAATGTGACTCAAATACTGGACTTCCTTCGTATATTGAGTCACACTCACAGTGCCACATACCGCCTGGGCGCGGAAGGTCCCTTTGCTAGGGGAGCCGAAAATCAATTAATAGTAATAGGCCTACTTAGTCCGAGTAACTTGGAAGTTGGACCTAGTCCGAGTAACTTCATGAACTTGGACCCAACTTATCGCCTTTTTTAACATTTGGACATGGTCTGGTGATAGTAGGGTCCAAGCTAATACCGCGAGCTGGACAACACCGTCCCAAAAACCAACATTTTCCAACAAAAAACATCAGATTTCACCTTCAAAACGGCCTTCAAATTACTAGATATGCCACCTGAGGTACAACTACAAGTAGACATCGATGATTAAGATGGTTGTAGGCCTACTGAAGTTTACTTACGATCCGGAAAAAAAAGGTGAAATTTTCCGTTCATTTCGGAGAGCTCCCCTCGCGATCTTGAACATGTTAAATTTCCGATCGTGTTTAATGTTTGAACGACGCGATTTCTTCTTCATGCCCAGTGTACATTCGATGGTCCCCGTATCCCGAGTGCGATTCCGTTACCGAGCGCGCGCGATGCATCGATTATGATACAGCTTTTATGGTGGATACCAGTTCAAGCTGGTTCCCGATTCCCTTTTACAGTTCGAAATGCACATGTATGTGTTTACAAACGTGACTCATTATCATAATCGATGCGTTGCGCGCGCTCGGTAACGGAATCGCACTCGGGATACGGGGGCCATCGAATGTAGAAGAAATCGCGTCGTTCAAACATTAAACACGATTGGAAATTTAATGTGTTCAAGATTGCGAGGGGAGCTCTCCGAAATGAACGGAAAAGTTCACTTTTTTCCGGATCGTAAGTAACTTTCAGTACAACCATCTTAATCATCGATGTCTACTTGTACCTCAGGTGGCATATCTAGTAATTTGGAGGCCGTTTTGAAGGTGAAATCTGATGTTTTTTTGTTGGAAAATGTTGGTTTTTGGGCGGTGTTGTCCAGGTCGCGGTATTAGCTTGGACCCTACTATCGCCAGACCATGTCCAAATGTTAAAAAAGGCAATAAGTTGGGTCCAAGTTACTCGGACTAAGTTGGACTTATCGCCTTTTTTAACATTTGGACATGGTCTGGCGATACTACTCAGTACTGTAATTTCTGTTTTAGGCATCATAAATGGCTGAAACTTGTGTACAATAAACATTTTCATACATTTTGTCTTGTGTGCAAATTTTATTTCGTAAAGACTTCAAATAACTTCGTGACGGCAAGTTGAATATGGGACCGCAGCGCGCGGCGCGATGCCAACCCGGATTAACTTGTCCCCATCATTTTCTTGGAGCGCTACATTGAAATGCCATTTTTACCCGGATAAACCCATCGTAGATTGACAAATCAGGTACCAACTTAAAGAGGAAGACGTCATCTTTTCAGTGTCGTATGCGCGTTTGTCATTTTTTGAAGGGGGGGGGGGGTCATTCCATGCCAACTCAACAAATGGTGCACACCATCACCTCTTGGATTTTTTTCTTTTTTGGTGTACTGAAAGATACTTAGGAGAAATGCAAATTCTCAAAATTTGGGGTCTCTACGACTTTTTGTTCTTGCGCAATAGCATTTTGAAATTTGAGGTGGGCGGGGCCGGGCCAGGGCGAAAAGCGCGTCGCGTCACGAAATTCAATGTTTAAAGGGCCTTATATTTAAAACTATACCCCCCAGACATTTCAAACTTGGTAATCTGGGCTATTTTTTTGCTGTAGATTTCAAATATTTAAACAGAAAGAAAGTAGCTTGTTTCATTTTTAAGTTAGAGGGGCCCCAAAATGGCCCAAAACTCATCTGGACCAATGTTGGGGGGGGGGGGGGGGGGTAAGTCAAAAATTTAAAATATTTTTACACCAAATTTTTTGCCTGTAATAGCCCCCAATTGAAACTACTTTCATGTAAAATCTTACACTTATATTAACTTCATTGAATGAGATATAGCCCTTGCAAAAAGCAAATTGTTTATTTTTACGATAACTTGAACCCCCCCCCCCCCCCCCCAAACCAACGTGAGACATTCCGCACCAAATTTTGCTTCACATATGTTTGAGGTTGGTCCTTAAGTGTAGTCCTCTGAAAAGTTTCATGTTGGTGTCTAAATGTCTTCAGTGGATAGCTGGGCTTTATAAAGAGTCTATATCTTACGATGCTGGTTCCGTAACATACAAGTACATGTACATGCACTTGTATTTTACGGAACCAGCACAACAAAATCCCCCGACTGTTGAAAGACTTGGGTCAAGACTACCCATTTCCTGCTCAATAAACAGTTGCTTGTAGACCTACAAGTACATGTATTTGTGGTGTTTTGTCTGTGCAACTTTACATTTCCGTCAAAACAAAACAGGCACCGTATTTTCTTTGCGAAATGTCAGAGACTTTGTTTCCCTTCGGTTAACTCCACGTACGTGATTACGATTTTGGCACTTGGTATGTGGGGTGAAATTGTGTTGTTTGTACTGCCACGTGCAGCGTGGAAGACGCAAAATCCAATACGCGTGACGTTATTCAGTTGGTTCCGCCCCTGAATAGGTAAGACCTCGCAGTACAATGCGGTAACAGTGAATTTGTGGTTTGCGTTTTTTTGGAGCGCTTTAGCGACAGTTTCAAACTTTAAGGGATTGACTTTGGTTACAAAGGCGGTACCTCAAAAGAATATCGCGATATTTTTCGGCATATCGAATTTCACGATGTTCCGATTTTTTTTTATGAGATCGATACGATTTCCGATATGAAAATTTAATCGAAATATCGTGAAATATCATCATACCGAACAGGCTTGCTCCCGAGGGAAAAAACGCCACTCGCACCCGTGTCGCAAGTACACACAGACCGGGTCAGCGCGCCTGCACACATGCCTGCAAAACACAAGGTCGGCCGGCTGACCACACGCGGTTGGCATGGAGTGATTGTGTGTGCGTGTGCATACTGTATGGGGCTATGCACGTGCAAACGTCTAGGCTTGAATGGTATTTCAGTATTACTGGATAGTCTCGATTTTTTTCTTATACCGATTATCACCAACTAAAGATTCATAAATACCGAAACACCGGTGAACTCGGTATGGAATTTCAATACCGCAGTACTCTTCCTTAGTGTTCAGAATCTTCGCAAAAGTAATTCAAACAGAAAGACAAACAACATCTTTGACAAGCTTGATTCCATTCTTTGTGGTTCCAGGCATCCAGTTTCATGTCGGCATTGTCAATTACCGTTGACAGATAAGACGTAATTGTCAAGCTCAACTAGAAAACCTGATACTTCGGCAGCTGCAATACCGCAAAGGCCTTTGAAGTTCTGCTAACGCCGCCGTGTTTGCGGTTTTGTTTGTGTGTATTGTGTCTGGACGTTTAGAACGATGTTTTACACAGGGAATATTTTGACGGTTGTGACAAAACCTGATTGTGTTAATTGTTTCTTCTTGGTTGTTTTTGAGATTTGAATTCTACATGCATCATGCGTAATTTTTGAAGGCAAAACATAGTTCCCCAACTCCCAAGAGTATTTCTGCAACAAGAAAAAAAACGTGTCTATCTTGGTTATGACCGCCAAAACTTACAGGCTTCAGTCATGGAGCATGATTCCGTGTTATGCATGCGAGGTGCACGTGCAAAGGGAAGGGACTCGCCTGGATTCACATGCGACGCTGAGCCGTCCGATCCGGGGAAATTGAGAAAAAATATTTCATATTTTCATCATGATGTCTCATCATGGGCCTCGGGGAATAAATGTACGATCTAGGAGTGTCGGCACCGACGCGCAAAAAACAAAAATCTGGACTCGCCTGAATATATGATGAAGCGAGTGAGCCGTCTGGGAAACTTAAGAAAAGAAAATAGTCCAACGAAAGCGCAGTATAAAAGCCATGATTTCTCATCGTGGGTAAAACTCTTGTACGACCTAGAAGCGTACACTTACAGTGTTTACGAAAGTCCCTGAATACACCTGCGTCATGGCCGTACATGTCAGTGCATGATACGCATACACGCAGTTCCACACTGGTTACGCACAGAGAGAGTTGAAACACATGCTTTTCCCCACGCACTGCATTGCATTCCTCGATCTAAAATGCCCTTTCAAAAGAATCTGATTGGCCATCTAAAACCACGCTCGGAACATTTTTTTTCATTCATGTTTTGGTACAATTGGTCCGTTAGTTATTCAACGGTACCGACGTTCAAAGGGAAGGGACTCGCCTGAATCTTACGATACTGAGTCGTCCAGATAAAAATCGAGAGAAAAAAAACAACTCCACAAGAAAGGGTAAGTATCAAAGCCATGATTTCACATCGTGGGAAAACCCCCGTACGATCACACGTTACCAAAAAAAACCCTACGCCCGTCCTGCTGGGGCCACAAGCACAATGACGTATGACACGTGCTTTTTCCCACGTACTGCATTGATCAAGCTGATTGGCCATCTAAAACGGCGCTCAAAACATTTTCCATTCATATTTTGGTATGATTGGTCCGTTCATTAAGAAGGTCACGGCACCAACAACTTCATATTACAGCATCCACAATTGCGTATGCCTAACATTGTGATGATTACTAGAATCAATTACGGACCGATCACGTGAGAAAGAGTACGATTATTTTTTATAGGAGTCCGATTTTCACATGACACCGGCGAAGCACGTTAAGGAGTCGCTGGTGGCCGACATAAATTGCATGAGCCTATTGAATCACTCACAATTGATAACAAACGAAAAGCATACGTTCGCTAGGATAGGGGGATCGTCGTGTGGTAGGCCTCGGGCAGCGGTCGACGATCTGCATTATTTTTTAGTGGGCCTTGTCATGCCAGTGGCGTTACTAATTCGAACAATATAATACCACAAAAATTAAGCTTTCATTTTTAATAATCTGTTACAGTGATATATTGTTTTTACAAACAAATGGACTGATAATGAAACCATAACACTTTTAGTGTAGGAGATTTGCGGCGTGAAGCATTTGCGTGAAGCATTTGCGTGATTTATGCCGCGCCAGCAGCTTATCAACTCGGCATGTGGTGCTTGGTGGTTAGTTATATTTTTTCCCCTGATAATGACGTAATAACCCACTTAGTGAATACTGCATTTTTTTTGTCACTGGATACCGTGGTATAGTAAATGCAATACCGTCCCAAGCCTACAAACGTCGCATAGCGATCAACAGTGTTTACCATCTTTATTGACTTGAATTGCGTCGCTTCATGTATTTTTTTGTAAGTTTCATTTCTTTTTTCGAACAAATGCATACATTTTCATGGTTCAGGGGCAATTAAATGACAAGAATACAGCAGTATAAATGCACACATATCATGTTTATTATCGTAATGAAAGTCAAGCTCTTTGCGCTGCCGTCTATGGATCGTAGCATGCACCGCGCCGCGCTGCATGGAGACTAGGTATGGGAAGGGCAACGACATTCTTTCAAGATCGTTTTTGTTAAAATCTAAAATGAGTTTCTAATTAACTAATAAATCTTAAAAACAATTACTACTTGCAATTTATGGATAACAAGCTGATTTCATACCAAAGCGCACACTTTATTTTTTGCTTTCAAATTGGGCTCTTGGTCAGTGGGTTGTGTGCAAAATGCTTTTGTTTATTAATTAGCTAGAATTAATTAATTTGTATATTCGCGCACACTTAATCAGTGTAATGCCAAGAGTACGTTGCTGCATATGTTCACATAAAAACACTGCCCAAATTTGGTGGATTGAAACAACTGTCTCTTCAAGTTATGGCAGTTTTGAATATTAATTAGGGCATTAAAGTCCATTTGCATACTTTACATACATAATTAGTACAATATAAGCCAGTTTTAAATAAATTCTAGTGGTGGAGTTATTTATCACCAGAGGAACACACCAACCAAATTTCAGGCCTGGATCTCATACACATCTCAAGTTATGGCAATGTTGCATATCAATAAGGTCAAATTTGCATAATTTGGACTCAAAAATTTAAGATTTTCCCTAAAAGTCTGATTTTGTGGTCCTGTATCTCATGAAATGTGTAACCAGTGACTGTGAAACTTCGTAGATGACAAAAACCCTGTAGAATCTTTCAGTTCTGCGAAAATAGAATAAAGAATGCATTAATTTCTAAACTTACTGTCCAGTAAAAATGGCATAATTTCAGAAAAATGACTGTAAAGTGAGTTTTTAATATACTTTTTTGTACAAAAATGAACAACGGTGGGATTTTGACACGCTATCTTTAAAAAACAGGAATTTTCCATCGGTGTTTTACTCTCAAAATTGCATGTTCATTCTTCATAGATTGTACAAAGGTACTTAAAAACCTTCAAATTGCCATAATTTTTAATATATAGTGTCACAAAAGTCGTAATTAATTACTTTTCACAAAAATCCACTATTTGTCCACAAATAGTCAATATTTGGCACTTTTTCTTTAATCGTAACCCAAAAACGGCTAATTGACATCCTATAAGGTTATACATTTTTGAAAAGCACTCAATGAGATCTATCCAACTGTAGCTGTTTCAAGACCCCTTTACCATTTGCTGAAAATTGGTTGTCCGGCCTACAATGAAAGATTGAAATTATTTTGTCAGCAGAAAATCAACCCAGCTATAGTATGACTGCTAAATAGCACAAAATCGTTAAATTCGGTACCTTCAGAGGTCTAGATATCCAAAAATCATGGTAATTCGGCAAAATATTTGGACGGTTTTGAAAAAGCATGGCGTCTCTCAGTCCTTCATTTTTAAGGAGCGCGATCGCGCAGGCGCTCCTACTGCACTCCTCGACTGTCTCGAAGGAGCGCCAAAAACAGCGCTCCTCAGAAATCCAAAAGAGGGCTCGTCAAACACGGGAAGTTTAAAAATAAGAAGTGATAAAAACGCAAAGGATTTTAAGTCTTAAGCTACACGTATTTTTCGTTGGTATAATGCCCAAACTCACGTTAATATGCCGCTGGACATCGCTAAAAAATGAACGAATACCGAGCTCGTTCGTACTGTATAAGATCGTGTGTGTACAGCAGTTGTATACTGTGCGTGCACAATCTGCATATATCGCATAGAGCTGCATGAAAACACGTGGGCCCGTACGTGCGAGTGCGGCAATAAATGGTTCCCGCTGCGCCGCGCACTAAGTCCCAATGAAGGCATGATGAAAATGCGGTAACCAGTCAATGTAATAGTCGCGCGCGGTGCAGTGCAGTGCACTGCCGTACAGTGTTTTGCGTGCAGGCCGGATGGAATAGACATCGTAAAAATGCCATGAAAACAACGATTGAGAAGGACGATCTTTGCAAGCTTATTCACAGAACTTGATCTCTCTTGTCTGTGTATGTATATCCATTGTTCATGAATTTATTTTGAGGAAGTTTTACGGGTATGTGAAGTGAAACGATCAGCGTGTTTCACCGAAATCCTATACCGTAAAACGAGTCTCATTGCCGGCCCACCACACACAGTGCATCACAAACGCTCTTACTAGTGCAAAGTTCAGACGTTGTTAGCCAGTTTCTCGTCGTGACTAGCATTGTGTATATGGCATACTTGTCCTGCATTGTCCATTATTTTTAAGATTATCGACGGCAGATATTTTCAATAAAACTTAAGGCAAGTTTGTGTCATTTTGAGGCCCTTTTTGTATAGCTTTCGTAGAGCAATTGAAATAGTTCAGGCTGAAAATTTCATATAATTTTAACGAATCTGAAAGCAAATATTCAGTTGCTTATGTGCTGTTTATTAACTCTCCATTTTCCAAGTATAATCAAGTGATGAACCAACTGACAACTGTATTAAAAAATGAAAGCATAAGCAGTAGTCAAACCTTTTATTAATCTCCATTTAGTTAGTTTTTTAAAATAAATTTTACCGTGTCTTACAGTTACAAAAACAAAAAAAGTAACGCAACTTGAGCATATGTTTATGCAAAAACTAATAATAATGCAGCCCCTTGAATAAATCCTTATATTCAAAATAAAACAAAAACAATGGTAACCCGTCGTTTTACCGCTGATTATCCATAGATTTTAAGGAGAGCGATTTGCTCTCCTGAAAGATTTGAGGAGAGCGATTTATAGCTCTCCTGGATTTTCTTTAAATGAAGGACTGGTCTCTGATATTTACCAGACTGTTTCCCGGCCACCCTAATAATAGTCAAAAGGCCAATGGGGTCAGGGAACCAGACAAGAGCTTTAACCCTAACCCACCTCACTCCTCCAAAATCCTCCTGGCGGTTTTGGAGGATTCTAGAGGATTGAGGATGAATGGTGATTGAATCAAATGAGGATTCTGGAGGATTGAGGATGAATGGTGATTGAAGCACATGAGGATTTTGGAGGATTGAGGATGAATGGTGAATGAAGCGCAAGAGGATTTTGGAGGATTGAGGATGAATGCATTTTGAGGCAGGACTGTCTGATGATTTTGAAGGATTTGGCGTTGGTTATCCTTCATTTAAACACGAGTGCAAAGTTTTGGGATGAGGAGGATTTTGGAGGATTGAGGATGAATGCATTTTGAGGCAGGACTGTCTGACAATTTTGAAAAATTTAGGCGGAGTTGCAAAATTTTGGAGGATTGAGGATGGTTGTAAGCAACAAGGGCCTAGGGGGTTAGGGTTAATCATCTACTGAGCGTGCGTCAACTTTGGCAAAGCGCACCGCGGCTAGTTGCCTGTCATTCCAAAATCTTTGAATGTTAAAAAGGCGATAAGTTGGGTCCAAGTTACTCGGACTAGGCGGTCGTGTAGTGACTGTAGGGGGTGATCGTGTAGTGTAGGGCCCCTGTTATTTACCTGAATATACAGATAAAAAAAAATGTAGCGGCCTAATATTTCATCTTTTGCAAGGACTTCTTCATCTATTTTTTATCTGATTTAAATATTCAAAATCTGATTTTTTTGGGGGTTAAACAAAAATATATAAATTTCACCAACCCTGTCCAGTGCGCAGGGAAACATCCAATTCCATGCAGACAATTTGATTGTCAATAGTAAGACCACCCTGAGTAGCCAAAATTGCTCAGATGAAAGTTCACCCTGTATCAAATGAATGTAACATGTAAACTGATGAAGGATATGCATAGGGTAATAATGATCATATTGCCACAAATTTAACATTTGCACTACTTTATGTGTATATTTGCAGTCAGAGGGGCTCGACCAGGAAAAAATGTGCAGTTAACAGAAGCAGAAATAAGAGGATTGTGTTTGAAATCCAGGGAAATTTTTCTCAGCCAACCCATCCTGTTGGAGTTAGAGGCGCCCTTGAAAATATGTGGTAAGCTTAATAATGCAATTAATCTTTGTGCGAGAAGCTCAAAGATTTACAAAATAAAAAGTTCCTAGTGAATAACTCGAGGGGGTTATGGTTAAAGGGAATATACATCATTTGCTTTTGCTGTAATTTTCAGGAATGGATGGATTTTTTTTGGGGGGGGAGTAGTATTACAACTGGCTTGTGCCCGTTCAAAGGTGTGTAATCGATTGGAAACAAAAAGCGGACTAACTAAATATGGTAAATTACTGGCAGTATTTGAGTAAAGCCGTTTTTTTCAAACACTGGTCGGTTGACCAGCCTTGGAAATTGATACAAAAAACTATTTTTCTTGAAAATGACAACACACCAGGTGCTAGATTTTACAGGATGCTTTAGACTGTCAGTGTCATTCACTAACAGTCCAGTAAGGTATTTCATAATACTTTGGTAGTTTTGTTTTTTGATGAATATATACATGTATTCCCTTAAAATCACTTTAATGTAAAAACCAATTTTTTGGTAAAATTCATTGATTGAGGGTCATTTTAATCATTTAAATCCACTGATCCACTTAATTACAAAGTGTAAGATGTTGTTAACACATTTAGACACCCCTATTTCATCAGCATTGACTCAACATATAGGTTTTGCATAATAACCCAAAATCATTGTTTTGATGAAAGTCAAGATCTGAGTTTAAAAAGTTTTTCTTTGAATTTTGAATTGTAAAGACAGCACACTCACGTTTGCTGTAATCATACCTTGATCTGTTCTGTTTGCAGTAATATTGTGAATCAATTGTGCTGGTGTAGGCTTACCTGAACCATCTAAAGGTGTATTAAAGTCCCAATTGATAGTGTTATTCCTAATGTTTCTCCATACAAATTTAGATTGAGATTTATATAATAACCTTTAACCCTAACCCCTTGGGCTCTTTTACTAGAAAGTATCCTGAATCCGCCAAATCACCAATTTTGTCACGCAAAAATGTTGGTGTCCTGAGTCCATCAGAATCTCCCAATGTAGATACTGGAGGTATCCTGAATCCACCAAAGTCCAACAGCAAAAGTCTTGATGGATTTTGATGGATTCAGGATATCATGCTGGCATAGAAAAAAATTCAGTATGTTTTTCCATAGTCTTCAAAATCCATCCCCTAAATTGCTGGTGGATTTTGACGGATTCAGGATACCGTGCTCGCATGAAAATTGTTATATAAGTGTTGCTGCATAGGATCCATCAAAATACACCACTTACATGTACATGGTTCAACTCAAAGCTTTCAAAATGTTTTAGAGTATAGTCTAGGCTATATTTAAAAAAAAAAGGCTCATTTAGGGCAAGGAGAGGCATTTGTTAGTAGAAGTTGGTAACAAAGCTATTTTACCTAATTCAGGGGTGCTGAATCTGAAAATGATGGTCACCCAGCTGAATTTTTAGTGGAAATATTCCTGATTTCCATAAATCTTTAATACCTGTTGTGTAATATAATTGTTCCCATATGTAGGTATATTTTTTATTATTTCATTTTTTTTAAAGTTTATTTTGGTGATTCTACTTGCACTTCCTGATTTCAATAACATTCTCTTAAGCATATAAGTGACTGAATGATTATGAGGACATAGTAACAATCCAAAATGGCTACTATTACACCCTAAAGTTGCGCGCATTTACCTTGTCTCCAGATATCATCAAGTAGTCTCGCCGTTCGCAGTATTGGTGAGCTTCAAATTCACAAAGTTACTTACTAGCACAGTTACCCGAACAAAAATAAATTTGACATTATGTCAAAAATGCTAACATCTTGATATTAAGGCCAAAAAGGAAAACGGGGAAAAATGAGGTGTCTGTAAATTGGGCTAACAGTTAATAGGCGAAAGGTCGCCTAACGTGGGGGACTTGAATAACTTTGTCAAAACGTTTTCTTACCAATAATTTTTGCGGACACCCCGTTTTCTCCCGTTTTATATCACAATGTTATCTTTGTTCACATGATTTTCCCATAAGGTTTTAAATAGGGTCATAAGGTTTTAAAAAGGGTAACTGTACCAGTAAGCAACATGGTAAATTTGAAGTTCTTCGATACTAAGGTTTGGCAAGACTACTTGATGATATCTGGAGACAAGATAAATGCGCGCAACTTTAGGGTTTTATGGTAGCCATTTTGGATTGTTACTATGTCCTCATAATCATTCAGTCACTCACATGCTTAAGAAAATGTTATTAAAGTCTGGAAGTGTAAGTAGAATCACCAAAATAAACTTTTCAAAAAATAAAATAATAAAAAATATACCGAAATATGGGAACAAATATATTACACGACATGTATTAAAGATTTATGGAAATTAGGCATATTTCCACTCAAATACAGCTTGGTAACCATCATTTTCGGATTCAGCACCCCAAAATTATGCTAAATAACTATGTTACCAACTTCTACTTGAAAGTGCCTCTTCATGTAACAATTTTTAAAGTACCCCACATGCTATGAGCAAATTTGAAGGGGTGAGGTTTAAACCCATCTGGTGATTTGACATGAGTGGAATGACCCACAAGCACATTTTCTGACTATCATTTCGAGACAGATTTTACAGTGACTTAAAGGGAATATACAACATTTGCAAACATCGAAAAATAAAACTACCAAGTTTTTACGAAATACCTTACTAGGATGTTGGTAAATGACAGTCTCAAGCATCTTGTAAAATTATGGCACCTGGTGTGAAGTCATTTTCAAGAAAATGGTATTTTTGTACACATTTCCAACGGTGGTCGGCCGACCAGTGTTGGGAAAAACCTAACCATTTTTCAACTACTGCTCCAAATATACCATTTTTTCAGTCCAAATTTGCCTTACAATTTTCCATCATCTATAAATTGATCCATTTTATCTTTTGTGGAGTCAGGGAACCAGACTACTTGAACATTTTTGTTTTTCATGGTTTTTCAACCTTTTCGAACTCAAAACTTCAAAAATTTCAGTGTAACAATATTCGATCTATAATACCAACCCCTCAAATAGTTCATTTCTGAAAATTACAGCAAAAGCCAATGATGTACATTCCCTTTAAATGTGCTGAAAGTTGACAAAGGAAGAGTGATTTTTTTGTCACAGTATGATCAGGATGGAAGAGGTGATATGGCCAAATATGAACGTTTTTAAATTTCAATTCTATAATGCATGTATACCTTCTCTGTATTACAGGTGACATACATGGCCAGTACTATGATCTTCTGCGACTTTTTGAGTATGGTGGGTTTCCACCTGAAGCCAACTACCTCTTCCTTGGGGATTATGTAGACCGTGGCAAGCAGTCTCTTGAGACCATCTGTTTGTTGCTAGCATACAAAATTAAGTATCCAGAGAACTTCTTCTTGTTGAGAGGCAACCATGAATGTGCTAGCATTAACAGAATTTATGGTTTCTATGATGAGTGTAAGTCTAATCTTTTGTTGGAATGTTCTTTGTTATCACAACTTGCTCTCATTGGCTCAAATAGCTGTGTGGTCAACATTCAACTTTTTGATATATTTGGAATGTTTTAGTAATAATACATGTACTTGTGTAGATCACTTATGAAACTGCTTTGCCAGAATTCACTAATGTACATGTATATAAGTGTCCCTCCTAAATAAGTGGAAGATTTTCTTTTTCTTGGTTAAATTGCTCATTTTCTGTGTTATTACTTATTTTTTGTCATTAAACTTTCATGTTTTTTTTTAGTTTTCTAAATTTATGAAGATGATAAAACAAAGACAGAGAATAGTCAGTACATTTACTAAAAAATTGTATATCACATTATAAGAATGTACTCAATGTGTTCCTCTGGCAATTTGTTTGTCTTGTTTGTTGTAGGTGTGTATCTGTTGATGAAAAAGTCCACTATCATCCACATTAGGAGGAAACTCTTGAATCAATACTTGTTGCTTTAAATCAACGTTAATTGTTTGCCAAAGTTGCACTCCATTTCTGTATTTGTTCTGCCTGTATCTGTTAATGTCCAACTTCTTTGGCAGCTGTTTGTTTGACAACTTGCAGTAAGGCAAATGTATTATTTATCGTCATAAAATTTTTGTTTTTCTATATCTGGAAAGTGTAAATTCCGTTTAAACAAAACTGTGTAAGAAGGTGTTTCACACCTCATCCTGATGTACATGTGTTGATGTATACACACAGAAAACACTTTAAGATTCCAGAAATGTTATTTCAATAGGTCTAATTCTGCTCTACCCTTTGGGTCAAATTACAAGCAGAAAACATAAACGAGATTTTATGATTACCTATATTTTTTGCAGGCAAAAGGAGGTATAATATTAAGCTCTGGAAAACCTTCACGGATTGCTTTAACTGCTTGCCTATAGCAGCTATCATCGATGAGAAGATATTCTGTTGTCATGGTGGTAAGTTTCATTTATTTCTTCAACAACCTTAGCTCCCTGAACATTTTCACTACCGTAATTTTTGGAATATAAGCTATGGCTTATACGTTGAATTTGCCCATGAAAATGTTTACTGCGGCTTATACACAGGGCGGCTTATACGCCAAGCCTTGAAGAATAAAAATGAGATTCAAATGTGTATTTAATGTACTGGTACAAGAAAAGAGCTGTTGTTGAAATGAATTATCAATTAAGAAAGTCATTAACAAACCGAAAGCACGTCCAACGAAAAGATACCGAGCGGTAAAAAGTACGGCCGGCCAGTGGCCGGCCAAGAGTGAGCTCACGGTCTTCGATGCTTGCGACATCGACCAGCAGTACGTGATACTAGTGCTGCATAGCGCATGCCCATACCTGCCAACTGTTTCGATTTAGGCAGAACTGTTCCGATTTCGGAGATAAAAAGTGCCCGAAAATCGGAACGTCCCGATTTTCCGAGTTGCGAGAGAAGAAATAATACAAAAAAAATTTAAATTTTTTTTTAAAAATGCCCCGGCCCCGTCGCACACTTGTCCGAGAAAAATGTTTTATTGTATTGAGGGCGCTATTGCCGTTACCATAATGGTATAAAATCCGCCTCGCTCTTATGTACGACGAAAGGGACGTAAAGCAGACTCAAACGTCATCGAACAGGCCACATCCGAATAGGCTGCCCCTGCGGCCGTTGGCGCGCACAGGCTTTTGCGATCGGCCACAACCTAGCCGCAGCCAATAATTTGGACGCGAACTGAGACCCAATACGTCATCCGTCTGGTGTACTGCCTCTCTTGCGTGCTTACCGAATTAAAGCGCAGGCCAGGCACGGCGCGGTGGACGTATTGATGCCATGTTTCGTTTGTTTTCCACACATGTTGTTTCTTCATAGTCTTTGGTGGTTTTTCGTTGATATTTTGACCGTGCTGAGTCGCACTTTTTTTGTTTTTGTATGAGCATCTCAACTGCAACATGGACCAGGAGGATGATACACTGAAGGAGAAAAAGCAGCGAAGGAGTCAAAAATTCAGAGAGGAATATCGTGAAAAATTTAGAATTGTATTTAACAGGCATGACAGGCTGACACTGTGACAGGCCTATGTACGAACTTTTCCAAATAAAATTGCACTTGTACATTGTACATGTAAAATGCATTACTGTGACTGAATATCTACATGTGATTAACTGTGAAGCAAAGTCAGCAGTCATTTATTTTTAAATTGTAATTTTTTTTTATCAGCAAAAACCAGCTGGAAAATTCAGAAAATTATCCACTAGCCTAAATAAGAATACTTGTATTAATAGTGTCTGTTGGGTCTGCTTCTGGATGTCATGTAACATTTTAGGCACATCCACATGTACATGTACTTTGTATGATTGCCCCTGGACCCCACCCATTAGCGCGCCGCGCCTGCGCCGCTCACTGTTGCTGTTCCTCTTTCTGACTTTTCAATGTTGGCAGGTATGCATGCCATGCTGCATGCGCTACATTCCAGGCTCCATGCGCTTGCGGACCTCACCATTTGTGGTAATAAAGGGGTGTACTTTCTTGGGAACAATAATTACCAATATTTCCGCTGTTTACAAAAAGAAAAAGACGACTTATTCTTTTTATGGAGTTCATAATCTTTACTTGATAATCAGTTGTTCAACGTCACAATATAATTTTTTTCTTGAAATGTATTCAAGAAACGATGTAAAACTCAAATCGGGCTAAATCACCCCTCACAAAATTAAAGGTTCGTCCATAAAAATTTCAGCATCATGTTGACTGTTTTTCGAAGAAAAGTTATGATCAAAACTTGAATTTTTGACGTTACTACTCATTAGTTATCACAACAATTTGATAAGTTTTGTTGTGAAAACGGACCTGTTTATTCTTAGGACAAAACAAATCAGCATCTGTTGCCACAAAGCAAGATTTGTAGCGCTCCAGTCAGACAACATATGGTGGGTTGCATATACTCTCTCAAGTGCTGCGGGAAAATGTTGTCATTCGCCGGCGCAGACTGCCGGGCCATGCACTAACTTTTAAGGCCGGGGACTGGAGGGGCCAGCCGGCAGCAATTCCCGGTGTTCATTTCTCATCATCAATTTCCATATTTGTTTGTAAGAGTATCGACTGTAAATGGTTTGATATAAATTGTGTGGCCCTTTTTATAGTTTGTAGTGTAAATGGAACTGGTTCAGAGCATTTTGACTAGAATTTGGAGGCCTAACAAAATTGAAACCGCTGCGGTCAGTGCGGCAGTCAGCGCGCAGCGTGCTCGATAATGAGGCACACAGCGAAGTTTTATTTGCAGCGAGTTGTACGGTCTCGGACCTTCGAGAATTCACGAGGTTTCGCGAGCGTTCGGCAGTGCCCCTGGAAGACGGACAAGAAACCCGTTTTCGCGGCAGTGTTGGGCCAACCTGGGGGTGAGTGAAAGATTATTATTTTCGGCGTCGAACGATACCATTTTTTAGTGATTATATTGTTGTAAAGGTGATTAATTAGGCTTGCGAAATGAGGTATGAAAACCCTTTTTTTCAATACTACCTGCACGTTTTGAGTGATCCTGACTACCTCGGGATATTGTTGGATACAATTTGTCGATTCCTGGACTCTTGAAAAGTTATGCTTTCGAGCCGTACTATTCCCATCTCTGCAGGTTTCGTGGGCGATTTATATTTTGATGCGAAATATACGCGAAAATTGCATGATTTTGGTCGGCAACGTCTAATTCGGATGACGTCACTCGTGTATGCAGTGTGTATTACTAACCGCCACTGTACATGTTCGTACGTGGGTGCATCGCGACCGATGTCGACAATAGGTTCCTACCCGTTACTTTGCATGTCGCATCAAGTACAAAACAAATACATCCCATGTGCATCTAGGCTATGCATTAGCAAAGAATGTAGTATCCAGGCGCCACTTAATTCAGCGGTGGTGTACAAAGTCTATGAGTGTCAAGTATGAGTGTGAAGAATCAAGAAAATTAATTTTCTAAGTATTTCCTATGCCTAACAAAATTGGAAATAATTCTCACTTTAATCTCAGTCCCAGCTTCATGTCTTTTATTTAACATTTTTGCAATGACTAACCTAATTTAATATTAGGTCTTTCCCTGTAAATGTACATGTATATTGATTGATTATAATTTTTCTCTCCTTTCTCTTTTCTTCAATATACCCTCTAGGTCAAGTACGCAAAGTGATTTACCCATTTTCCCTGTCAAGATAGTTGGAGACAACATCCGCACTGGAAGATGAACATGACCAATTTCAATGGAACTCTATTATTTTACCATGGATTGAACTTTACAATTTTTGTGGTACAACCAGATTTTGCATGTTTAATTCAATGACGTGTGATCAACAACTCATAAACTGATGAATCAGGCGTCGGGGATTCTTACGCCATGTCGCATGGAACATTGCATGTATTGTTCGTTGATAAAAACCTGAGGAATAAGCACTTTCATGGTACATTTAATATGCGCCATCTTGTTCACATAGCAAGAAGAACAAGCATTGCTAGATGCGGACACATTTTGTAATGTACACATTTTGGAATGAACGCATGATGACTTGGAAGCACAAAAGGTTTTGTTTGATGACGTGTAGACTGCAACGCATGTAAATTTGCCTGGTAAGAAAAATGACGCATAACAGTGAAAAAAAATAATCAGTTCAATCAAATTTCTCTAAATATCAACTTCCAGTTTTATTTCACAAATTAATGAATTTGTCAGTAGCCTTTATGCTGTATATTGAAAACCGATAATACAATACAAACCTCTGCGAACGACTGTACACTGCACTCGACGTCCATATCGATGTTCTGAAAATACGCAGACTGCGTAACATTATGAACCAATGGCAACTTTGCTGATCGTCTGCGAGACAGTTTGCATCTGTCTGAGTTGTCGGCGACACTTCCAGATGAAATATTTCCATATTATCTGTTCTGGAGTTTTGGTCCCTTTTTTTTTGTTTCACTTTGCATTTCTTACGTTGAGATGGAAACTAGCCAGAACAGAATTGATTGCTTGTTAGTTTGTAACCATTGCAATCTTAAATATTTATTATTTGTTCTTATATGCCTGCATTCTTACCCTTGTAATTATTAAGAAATACAATTTATTGTTATTGCTAAGGGCTGGTGCGGTTGAATAATCTTGCATCAAAACAAATTGCTGACACGTGGAATTTTATAAGCTCGTGGTCTATACATGTCGCAAGAGTATAGTTACTATACATGTAAATGTACATTGCACATCAGTGTTTTCCAGATCATTAAAAACCTTACCCAATAAAGAAAATGTGCCTTAATTTTCATGTTCACTTTTTTCAGATCTATATTTGTAAGTCATTCCATGTTGTGAGAAACTTTCATTTGTAAAGTTTTTTTTCTTGGAAACTGAAAGTGGTTCAAATATTAAAGTGTTTCAGTATACCTTAATGTTTAACTAAATGCAGCTGAAAGTATGTAATTGTGATTTCATGAATAAAGTGTTTCCCAGAATTTCAGTCAAGAAAAGAGACGACTTGATTCTTTATACATGTTTTGTATTTGTTTTCAGGTTTATGTCCACTTTCCTACTTAAGATAAAGCCAAAAATAAAGTTTATTTTGCGAATTTGTACTCCCCCACCCCTCCCAATAAATCCCCACAATGATTAAGAAATAGTTATTGCATTGCCAGCATAAACACTTAGTAGGACCCCCCCCCCCCAAAAAAAACCGACGAAGTCTTATTTTTAATGGGTTTACATGAAACATCGTTTTACTTCCCTGTTTCGAAAAGACACGCAACCAGTTTATTATAGTCGGGTGCCTTTACTCCGCGTTTACTTATTGTGATCCCGTGTACGTGTGGAGCAGGGCACGAAACCGCCGCGCACTTGCTTTCAGAGCGGTGTTATTTTCGCAACCTGGGCACTCGGAATAGACATCCTTTTTGAGTGATCCTGACTACCTCGGATACTCAAGAGAACCAAAGTTATAAAATAAAGGTAGCTTAATAATGTCGCTTTTCATCAAATTGTCAAAACATTCTGCCCAACTTCGTTTGGTATAGATAAAAGGACGATTTTCACCGACCGTAAATTCACCACAACAACGGTCATATTTCCTTCCCCATATTTCACAAAATAGTTGCTTAAAACTTAATTATTATCATTTAACAATTAAACTATACCCTTTTTAATCTCTATTTCAAATAAAATCCTACTTTTAAAGACACGTTAAGCGGAAAATGAATTTCGAAGATTGGATCTCCTATCTCATGAATATTCATATTTCCAGTGTGTTCGTGCATACGCTGCAAATAAACGAAAGCACTTTCGGGCATGCTGCGCGCTGACTGTGCGGCATTTACGTCGACTTCAAATCTTAATTCCCAGATTTTTGCGTGCTGCGGCTTATACTCCGTGCAGCTTACACTCCGTGCAGCTTACATTCCGAAAATTACGGTACTTAAGGTCACAAATCTTCTACAATCCATCCAAAAAAACCTTCTTTTTTTTAATAGAAAATATTGATGTTCTCCATGATTTATTAGTTTTGGGCAGCTTACTGGAAACACAGGTATTTTTTCTTGGCCTGTTCCCTAATGTGGCGCACTTCGCACCTATCTGGTGAATTTTTCCCTCAAATTTGGGAAGCAGTCTACATTTTGGTGTATATAAATTTATATAGTCCAGGACCCAGGGTCCTTTATTTTTGGAAATGCCCAAGTGCTTGGTGGGTATTTTTGGAAAGGTTACCATGGTGTTGGTAAGCACGCTTGTGATTATAGCAGGGGTGTGATTTGTCCGGATTTCTGGAATTTTAGTCAAACGTCTGTAGAATTTTATGCGGATTCCGGATTTTCAACGTTTTCTGTTTCCGTAATATCGCCCGAAAACTTCTGGTGAAATATAGGCCCTAATTTTGGATAATGGATGGACTATATAATAAATGTACATCTATACAAGTAAATGTACAATAATACATGTACATCATGTCAACCGAAGTTCGTTGATTTTTCATTTTTGTCCAATCTCGTCCCTGTTACAGAGAGTTCCATAACTTGCATGTGTGGACAGTGAAGGGTATGAGTGAGATACAGTGGAATATCAAACTGGCTTTTGGAATGTAGCGCATTTAGTGCATTGTGGTTTGATTTATGATGTGCTTACAAGTGTTGGCTTTTCTTTTCAATCAGTGTTAAAGCATCCACTTTGCACCAATACAGGTTTGTCACCAGACCTACAGGCAATGGAACAAATAAGACGCATCATGCGGCCAACAGATGTCCCAGACCAGGGCCTTCTCTGTGATCTACTTTGGTCAGACCCTGACAAAGAGACAAGTGGCTGGGGAGAAAATGACAGGGGTGTATCTTTCACATTTGGGCCTGAAATAGTCTCTAAATTTCTTAGTAGACATGACTTGGATCTCATCTGCAGAGCACATCAGGTAAGGTCTGCATTTTTACACTTCTGTTTAAAGGGAATATACAACATTTGCAAACATCGAAAGACAAAACTACCAAATTATTATGAAATAACTCACTGGACTGTTTGTGAATGACAGTCTGAAGCATTCTGTAAAATCATGGCACCTGGTGCGCTCTCATTTTCAAGAAAAGTGGTATTTTTGTATCAATTTCAAACACTGGTCGGCCGACCAACTTTGGGGAAAACACTGCCTTTTTACAAACACTGTGCCCAATTTATATTTAGTTGGTCCGCATTTTGTTTGCAATCAGGTAAAAGCCAGCTAGACTGGTTCCCTGACCTTACAATTCTCTGACCTCTATAAATTGCTCCGTTTCATCTTAAGTGGGTTCAGGGAACCAGACCACTGGAACATGATGGGTTTTCTTGGTTTTTGGGCTTCTACGAACACAAAAACTTCAAACAAGTCATTGTAACAATACAAGATACAAGAAGAACATTGTTAATACAAGATACTGCTTATAACAAGCAAAATTATAGGTCCCAAGTCTTTCTTTTTCTTGGTTTTCCATTACTGTTAATACAAGGTACGTGTTAGGACAAGGAAATTCATAAAGTCCCAAGGACCTTGTTATAAAGGTATTCGACTGTATTTGCTATAAAAAAATAACCCCCCAAATCCAACCATTTCTGAAAATTACAGCAAAAGCAAATATTGTATATTCCCTTTAAAGATCAGTCACTTTAATGTGGTCTCAATAGTCACTTTAACATATTGCCTCTGTACTAAGGAGGTCACACTTTGTTTACGTGCCTGCTTTCCTATGGTGCTCAGTGGACCGTGGACCCCCCACTGGCTGCACAGGAAAGTGCACATGTAAACAAAGTGTGACGCCATCAGTACAGAGGGTTATTGTTTTGTGCTAAATTTGTACATGCCCGCAATGCGTGCACGACGCACGTTTCGATTTACGATACGCTTATAACAGGTTTTTCTTTCCACAGGTTTTTCTTTTTTAAATACAAAATACAGGCTGTTGTAAGTTACTTTTAGAGTTGTAACATTTTGGTTTGTTAACAACTTTTTTCTCGTATGGCTCAGGTTGTTGAAGATGGTTATGAGTTCTTTGCCAAACGGCAGCTGGTGACACTATTTTCTGCCCCTAACTACTGCGGAGAGATTTGACAATGCAGGAGCCATGATGAGTGTCGATGAGACATTAATGTGCTCCTTCCAGGTAAACATAAATCATGATCATGAGTGGGAGGGTCCATGTAATGAGTTTTATTTAAAACATATTTTGTGCATATTTTGGTTTACAATATTCTTAAAGTGCCATTGAAAATAGAGGTACATGTAGATGAGACAAATAATTATGTAGCATTGGATGTTGAATTCTTTGGGCTAACTTTCGGAGAAAACAAGGGAAAAAGTAGAGATAAAAATGAAAAGACGTATTCTTTTATGTACACGCCATGTGATGATGGCTGTTGCCACAAGTACATAGATGTACACATGTGCAATATAGCAGCACTCTGTACTAGTATATCTCCCACCAGCCCTTAATTTCAAAGCTACACTCAGTAGATTTGTTCAGAGTATTTAAATGAAAGCAAAAAAGCTTTGGATTCAACAAACTGGTGGAATTGTTGTTATAAAAAAAAACCCTACTTTTCAGTTCATCCATTTTTTTTTGGGGGTTAATGTATGTAACAAGCAAATATTAGTAAATTTATAATCAGTATTCATTGCTGTGTTTTCCAGATTCTCAAACCTGCAGACAAGAAGAAAATTTTTCCTATGGTGGCCTGAACTCCGGACGACCCGTAACTCCACCAA